TTTCTAAGAATTTTTTTTTTATAATTTTCAACCGATAGTAACGCTAACTGTTCGGTCAATTAATGCCGAATCTTTCCTTATAAGGAAACATTTAATTTTACCATTTTCATTAGCATTACTTCGGAGCATTGAGTAATATTTTCATATTTTTAATAATTTGCAATTGAATTGAATGCGCAGCAGGAACACCTGCAACCTTAATGACAATTATAGCTTTCAAATCTCCACTCGACGAATCAATGAAGAGACTCTATTTCCCTGGACTGTAAATCAATCCCAACGGTTCATCGAGCTCGTCAATGTGCCTACTATATATTAATAAAGTATTGTCGTGTAGAGAGAAAATATTTGCGAGACTATTCTTGTCTTTTGTAATAGCAGAGGCATGTCGTTGTCGATGCAAATAAATTAATTTTATCAAGACGTGAACCAATCAGCTGTACAGATTCTTTTCACAAACCCAAATCCTTAATTAGATTTTTCAGTTGTTCTTGATGTAAAGATATTGGTTGTTGTTTTTTTATCGGAAATTAGAGGTTGATACTATGCCGATTGACTATATAATCATAGTCAGCATTTTCATCTTAGGGAAAATATATCTTCTTGGATAAGTTTGGAGGAACCAGCTTTATAGAAGGGATATTCAAATATGCAACACGGCGCTTGTTCTTATTTACACCTTTTAATTTTATATTGGAAAATGTTTAAGTCCATTTAATTTTGCGATAAAGGATTCTGCATGAAAATTTATTCTTCAAAAATATTTTAAATTTAATTACACTTTAATGAGTGTAAGATAGAACTCCATTTTAAAAAATTTAAAATATGAGTTGACCGTCTAGGTTAGTCACGCATAAAATAACAATCCACCATATGACGACCCTTTTCTTCTTTCCAAACAATCGGAACACCAAAAAAGTGGAAATTCCTCTTGCCTTTACTCCAACATCTTAAATTTTCTCGCTTGCTTTATTCTCCCTTGCTCATATATATATATATATGATTGCTGATATCTCATAACGAGTGGACCGAACGGTTACAAAATAAGGTTCGTCTACGAAACTCTGAAGTCGAGGTGCTGAATATAACATCCATCAGCTAAGTGACAAATTTCATATTTGCATTAATCCCCCCCACACACACACAGAGTAAGGGAAAACAAATATTCGTATACATACAATTTTTAAATTTATTGTATTTCCAACTAATTAATAAACATACTATAATTAACTGTACATAGATGCATTACTAAATATGCATAGAAAACAGAAAAAATTGATTTAATAGAAATACATTCAATTTATCCGTTTTAATGGGCAAAAAAGTATTTGTACAATAGAAAAAAGAAAACATAATCTTCATTTAATACTTTGTAGAATAGCCATTATTCACTTCTACAGGAACCAACTTGTAGTTCTCAATTAATGATTTGCAAATTTTAGTTCGTATTTTATTCCGTTCTTCTTCACATATGGTCTTCAGATCCGGGAAGTTTGTTGGAACTCTCGATTAGATTTAAATTTTAAAATAACGCCATTGATTCTCGATTGGGTTTAAATCTGGGGACTGACTTGGTCCATTTCAGGATATTTACATTATTTTTAGCAAGCCATATCTTTATAGTTTTTGCAGTGTGCTTAGGATCATTAACTTGGAAGATTCAATCAGGAAATCATTAAATTTGCTTACAAAATAGTTCGATATGCTACGGCATTCATTCTACCATCTATTACTGATATGTTGCCAGTACCTTTGCAGAAAAACATCCCCAAATCATGATGCTGCCACCAAATTTCACTGTTAGAATTATGTTTTTTTTTTGTTTTTTTTAAGGTATCACCATCTTTCCTCCATACATGATTTCTAGAATTAGATCCAAACAACTCAGTTTTGGCTTCTTCTGTGCATAATACTCTTTGACAATACGATTTTTCCTTATGCCAGTTTGAAATTCGTTCGTGAATATAATTCACGAACGAATTTCAACCTGGCATCTCTGTGTCTTTTCAATAGCAGTGGAGTTTTCCGAAGGGAGCGTGATTTTAGATTGTTCCTATGAATTTCATTGCTTATTGTCCGCTTAGTAACATAGATTCCTGATGAAAGCAAATCATCCTTCATCTCTTGACGAGTAACCATTGGATTTTGTTTAATTTGACGCATTAATTTCCTCGAAGATCTTGAAGAAATCTTCCGTAGAGCATCGGTTCTTATATGGTTTTCAACAGTTTTGAGTTTTTTTTTATACCTTGCAATGAATGAATTAATGGTAGTAAATGGAATATTCAGGTTGTCTGAGATTTTCCTGTAACTTTTTCCGTCTTTCCAGATCTTAACAATCGGTTCTTTTTTGCGAATTTGTCAATTCTTTACTTCTTGCCATGATGTTAACCTTCTTGCACGAATATCAATTACAGAATGTTCTGTTTGTATCTTTTAGGCAAAAAATAATTACTGATAACATCATTGGAACATTCTAGAGTATTCCACTTGAATAATC